TACCAATAAAATAAAAGAAATAACTTATAATAAAGGAAAGAAGATAAAGATTATTTAATATAATGTATATGGACCATTCTAGAATATTTTTTAAAACCTATAAAAGGATCCAAAATATCCCACAATGTAAAAGTAGAAAATTTCCTAAAATTAAGAGAAAGTGCTGAACAAGTAGATTAACAAATATGTTCCAGAAACATAAGGATAAAATTTTAGTCTAGTGAAAATATTAATCTTCAAGTAATTTTATTAGAAAAGTATTTTAGTCATCTAGCAGAAAAATAAATGATCAATAGAAAAATGAAGCTATTCTCAAGCTTCTCCAAAGAACACAGTTCCAATAGATCAGCATAGTGGCTTTGAAGACCTCCTGTTAAGAAAGTACGGTCACAAGTGCTCCTAATCCAGGCATAAAAACCGAAACTAGATATTTTTCAGCACACAAGGACTTGGGAAGAACATTGATGAGCCTGTCTTGAAATAAAGAAATATATGAAAATAAACACCACACAAAAAGAGAAGAGTCACACCTCAAAAAAAGGAGAAATGATAGCTAACTATTACCCTTAGGTAATATTGGAATTTCAATTTTGGAGACTTGAGTTTAAATGTTTTCTACCTTGATGATATAAGAATAATGGCATTAAACTGGGGATTTTTTCACTTTTCTAAAGGCAAATCAAACCTTGCTAAATTTAAAGTTTGTTCTAAAACATAACTTCTAACACCTAGTATTTTGTTAATATTTCACTTTTAAACTTATATGTATATTTTTAAAAATAGTAATAAAACATAAAAAATTCGTTTGGAGTTTAGAAAATTCTTATTTGTTCACTAACTTGAAGTCAACTAACTTGACCATTTTTTATAAAAAGCATGTAGAGCAGCTGAGCTTGCAGCTCAGTGGAAGAGTATTTGCCTCCCATGTGCGAGGCCCTCGGATAAATTTCCAGCACCACAAAAAGTATTAAAAATAAAGATAAATAAATAAAAAAGCAGGTAGATTGGCATCTCATTTTAATAAAACTGTTTCACAGATGTGTGTATATATGTGTGTCTGGATGTATCTTGTTGCAAGCAGAATAGTGGACCCCCAAAGATGCCCACTACTTTTATTCTAAGTCTTTAAAAATATTTTTATTCATGGAAAAGAGAAATTAATATTGTAGATAGAATTAAATTTACAGTTAATTATCTGACTTTGAATTAGACAGGACTAAGGGATCAGGCCTAATATAATCAGAAGGGCCCTTAAATTGGAAGAGGGAGGCAGAAGGTCAGCGTGATGGAATCTGAAAAGGTCTATTCTTACTGTATTCAAAAATGACAGAGAGCACAACAACCCAGGAAGGGGGCAGCCTCTAGTGCAGGTAAAACAAGAAAACAGACTCCTCTGGAGGCTCCAGAAAGGAAGCCCATACCTTGGGTTATTTAGCCTCACAGATTTATTAACTAAAGAACTTTGAGATAATAAGTTTGCATTGGGGCTGGGGATTTAGCTCAGTGGCACTGCACCTGCCTTGCAAGCGCAAGATCCTGAGTTTGATCACCAGTACCACACAAAAAAAGTTTGCATTGTATTAGACCACTAAGTCTGTGGGAATGTGTATTTCAATTTGTTTCTATGTAAGTGAAAATATAAGATTGATGTTCAATTAAAGTTAAAGATTTAAATTGATAATATGTAGAGAATTTTAGTACTGATTTTCCTAAGTGATTTAAAAATAAATTCATATATGTTATTTCTATTAGGAAGTCAGACATACACAAAATATATACATTTTTGACAGGTTTATGAGAAATGACAATTAATTAACTTTGTTTAATCTAATATTTTCAAAATATATTTGAATGTACGGTAAAAAAAGTTCTTTGCAATTTAATAGAATCTAGTGTTTCAAGAAACATGCCTGTACTAATGTGCCAGGTATGGTCGCAAGTACCTGTAGTTCCAGCTACTCAGGAGGCTGAGGACACGGTCTCATTATATTGCCCAGGCTGGAGTGCATTGTTTTTATTAATTATGCCCAAACTAATGGTCATCCAATACTGTTCAGGTACTAAGTGTTTCTTATTCACTCCTGCTTATTCAGAAGTTTAGGTGTTATCCAGGATTGGTAACAGTTATAAATCAGATATATTCACCATTCCTGGTAAAAGAATCACATATCACAAGTGTGTGTGTGTGTGCGTGCGTGCACACACATGCATGCATGTGAAAGAGAAAGATATCTAGTCTTAGTTCCTTTATTTCTTCTATATTATCCATAACTACAGGAGTAAGGTTTGATGACACCTAGCTAATGGTCGGTCTTTATAATAGTTATATGAATGGAGCATATTAAGTGAATTTGTCATTGTTTTACTTGCTCATATGGTTATTTGCTAAATTATGCCTAACAATAAGTGGAACATTAGATAAGAACACACAAGATCTGGACAGAGATTCCACAGTTTTTTCAACTCCTTTTCCTTCAAATTCTTTAGCTGGTCTTTGGAATACACGTTGCTGTAGAAATAAAAATAGGTGGGTGTAGTCTGATAAATACATGCGTGTAAAAGGGAAAATAAATAATTTTGTTTTGAGTGTGGTATTGAGGCCTAACTATCATCTTTTAACACATAGATGGAGGCACATATTTGCATTCTTATTTAAGAAATGAAATCGACTGGGAATAAAATTTGACATTATTTTCCCAATACCACTTGCTTTGTTCTTTGAAAATCCTTTAAGAGCCACAGATTAATGGGAAAAAATAATGGATTTAACAAAGAATTTATCCTGCTCTGAAGAATAGTGTTGGACATTAAGATTCCATTTAAACAAAATTTTAATCCTATAGAACTTGCATCTATGGAAGAAAGATATTATCTTGGTTGAATTTTAATAATTTTTTGATTTGGCAAACGAGTACTTATTGACAATTTCAAAGGCACATTTCCTGTTTCCCTGGATGCCAGAAAAATGGTTTATATTCTTGCCTTTCTCCATTTCCAGTCTTTTTCCTTTTCTCTCTTTAAAAAAATTTTAGCTGTAAGGCATTATACTGCTAGTTTTGTTGAAGTTAAGCGGAAACTGAGCTTGCAATATTTATATTTTTGTGAAGAGCAGAAAGTAATAATTTGAAAATAATAACAAATGCTTACAAAAATATTTTTTCTCTTGCTGAACTCCAGGTATCTTTTTTTCTTTGCTTTACTGCTTCTATTACTTTCCCATGCTATGACAGGCCTGATCCTTAAAAGTGAATAGAATTCTTACATGATCATTTGGCAAAATAAATATTCAAAAAATGATAGTTCCACTTTGGTGGATGTCTTAATGCATACTTTGATTGGACACCACAGTTTTCAAAATCTAAGAGAATATACTAACTTGGATAAAAAAACATATTTACAGGGTTCAGAAAAATATATAATCTGCAGAAGCTAAAGGGCTTGATTTTCTTGGCTGGCAAAATATATTTTATGTAATTCCAGAGTTGAAGTAAAGACAAATGAATATCCCCATGGTGTAATCACCTGGTTGAAAAATCAGGTGACTTCCGTCTTCAAATTTTCTTTTAGCACAGTAAGTTTTTATGTTTTTTTATATCTTGGTTGGTAGATGAGTCAATGTTAAATGGTCATTCATCATTTACCATATAAAAGAAAAGCTATTACCTGAAACTCATTTTTACAGTTGCAGGCAAACAGAAATAATCATTTTCAAGGACCTAAAGCTGTTTCTTGAAGAATGTCATCATTTTATCCTTATTTTACTTACTATTTACTTATATATGAGCCAGCTTTGAGAACTGCACCCTTCAAGTTCTAGCTATAAAGAGTTTCTACCAGTTTCCTGCTATTGCAGTGAGGAGAGGAAATTGGACTTTCTAGAAACCAATTTTATCTTTCAGTCAGACTCGAAGAATGAGACCAAAGGCACAAAGGCTCCCACCCTGGATCAAGTTGTGAGGCAGTTGAGTGACTGCTAGAGTGTCTCAGTGTGGTCTGTCACTGCACTATTCTCAGGGTAATCCTAGCTCCTTCAAGCATTTCCGGAATTGTCATTCCAAATATGTGGACTCAATTTTCATAACCATTGAGGACTGTTCTGTTAAGGAAATGAAATCTGTTAAGTTTGAAAAGAGTTAACAATATCATAGTTGGACCACGGTCTTCATGAAAATCAAGAAGAGAGACTTGAAAAGATATGAGCAATCCTTAGAACAGACACCTTGGTGATTTAGAAAGCATGGAAAAGCTCAAAAGTCACCTAGATCTGTTTCAAATCCTTCCTCTGTTATTTAGTAACAGTCTGGACATAGCAACTGATTGAATATCTTCTGGATTTTTTTCTTATGTTCATAAATATGAGGAATAGAAACAGATAAATCATGGAATAGTTGTATGAAATAAAACATATGTAAAAGGGCTACTCAACTGAATGATATGCCACAAGAGCTCAATAAATGCTAGCACATTCCTTGTTAATCACTTCCAGGTCAAATAATTTTTTTGCTTGAATTAGAGCAGCCTGCCCTATTACAACATTTATCAAAGCTTCTGTCCAAATTTCTTCTCCTTTTCCCTTCTCTGACCAGCAGAGCCATACAGGGTGGAACACCCAGGGTTCCTGAGGTTTCTTTCTCTTGAAGTCTAGAACTGAGTTAGGTATGAGCAAGCTTCTCTTTTCCCAAGGCGTTTCTGCACACTATAAATTCCTCTGAATCCATGGTCTTCATTAAAGAGAAAGGAAAAGAGAAAGTTACATTTAGACATTCTTAATATTTCATTTTTCTCTCCAAAGGCTGAAAACCTAGGCTCCACAGCTCCATTGTAAAATCAATAACAATGCCCTCGGGAGTAAAGTAAGCATTTAATGGTCAGTGAGAATGTATTCAAAATATAGCTGAAAAGTAGTTGTTCTTTTAGAATCAATTACTTGGGAAAATGCAGAATAAGAAAAAGTTACATGAAATTATTAATTTTAATAAATACATTTGTATTTTAGTTATCAGAAGAACATCTTTGCACATTTGAAAATTGGAGATGGTGATTCATCTGTTCAGGAGACCTGCTGTTTATTCAACCACGGGGCAATTGTTGGTTTGTGGGCTTCTTGGAGCAATTTTGCAGCACTGTCCCAAAGGTGACCCTCACCTCATCACCTCTACTCTGGGTGATGGAAAGCTACTGGAGAGTCTATACAAGGTGATGTTTGAGGGAGATTAACTGGGAGGCATGAGAAACTGACTATAGCATTTCATCTTTTATGAGATTTTAAGGTCCAGTACTAGGTAGTGGCAGTAGAAACAAAAATTAGTTGATAGTTATGTTTTTTTAAATTACCTGGATGTTGAAAGAAAAAGACTCAAAAACTAGTAATTGGATGCTTAAAAGACGGATGGTAGGAACAGTTGACTTTGAGGAAAATATGAGCTTTATTCACTGGTGTGTGGGGTAGAGGATGGTAGGAAGCATGCTAACCAATCATTTCTGTGGAAGGAGTAATTGAAACAGAAATAAATCAAAAGGTATTCTCTAAGACAAAGAAGGAAGAGCTAGAACAGTTGAATATGGATTTGGAGTCTAGCAGAGTGAGCCAACATTTTCTATAAAGAGGCAGAGAGCAAATATTTTAGGCTTTGTAGTCCATATGTCTCTGTGGTAACTACTCAACTGTGTTATTCTATCACAAGAGCAGCTATGGGCAATGTGTAAATGAATTGGCATGGCTGTGTTCCAATAAAAATCTATTTGCAAATACAGGTGACAAGCTGGGGCCTTAGCTTTCTGACATGTGTTCTTTCACTCTGTTTTCTTAGAATTTTGCACAAGAGGTTCTTAACAGACATTTGTTGAGTCAATAGTATAGTGGAATGCCTATATCCATTTGTTGGTGCAACAAAGAAAGCCAGGAACATGTTGAGAGTTATGCAGATGAACAATAAAGATCATATGACCTAGGCAAAAATCAAGAAGAAGAGTATGTCAAAGGAAAAAAAGCTCTAGCAAAAATGATGTCTCTGCTAACAGATTATAAAGAATATGAAGTTATAAAAAATTACTTTTTCAGCAATTAGTAACAAGTCAGATCTTGAAGTATAAAAGATCAGAATGAGAGATCACATGAATGTTATTAAAGGAAGGATATAGCCACACAAAACAACCTGGGGTATTTGAATGTAAGTAACTTTGTGAAAGTCTGCACAGTAGACTGCAATAGTTACTGTTCTTAACATTTTTTTTTTTAGATTTTAATAAAAAAGATCTAGTTTTAAGCATCATCCAGAAATCTGTGGGTTAGTCTTATAAATCTAAGCTAACATCATAAATCTGCTTTTGAGGGAGAATCAAATTTGTGTTTTTTTGACATTATGTAGATAAAATAGCCAGCTTGGACAATTTTTAAAGTAGTTCTGTTGATGTTTGTCAAGAATCTTATTTTAGCTGTTTTCTCGTAAATTTATTAGCTTAACTTCTGTGAATTTCCAACTATTTTATGAAGCTGATATCAAGACCATGATTTAAATATTTTCTTTTTATTATTACCTTCCAACACTTACTTTTTTCTTCCAGATTATCCCACACAGATCTGTTGGAATTACTCCGTGATGATTTCAAAGAAAAACTTCTTCTCTAAACTTTCTTATCCCAAGGTAAATTGATAGGTTCCTAATGAATAAATTCCAGGAGCAAAACAGTGGTATGTTTATACTTCCAAGTATTAAGTTTCCACACCTTTAACTATAGCCACCTCTTATTCTAAAGTTGTCCAGTCATTTTTTTTATGTAGTCATTTTTAACAATGGAAAATTATTATTTTTTGTGCAATGCTGATCATCATTGTGTCATTTGGTACCTAGTGTGTTTAGTTTGTTATGCCTATGCAAGTGGGGGAAAAAATAACACCATAAACATGTCTAATCATGTCATTGAAGCTTTTCTTGGAATAATTGGAGCATGATGATGGAGCAGGGAGAAAGGAGGGAATGGAAATTGAGGAAAAGGGTCTCAGCCTGAATTTTCCAAATTGGCTATTTATCTGGTTAATTCTTCATCTTTCCTCATCACCATGTCTGAATTGAGAAAATCTTCCTAATGATAATAAACTATGGCAAGAACAGATGGCTGATTTGATGTGATGAAAATAGCTATGTCAATTGTGGGTATTTTTTTCCTTACCCATTTTGCTTTTCATCACTCTGGGGTTGGTGGTTCATGAATTTTTTTTTTTCTTTTTACAGAATATACCCTCAGCCCAAGATAATGGGTAACTCTCCAAAAGCAGTTTGGACATTTTTCTCTATAAAATTGAGAAGTGGCTTTTTAAAAAGTGATCATCACCTTTCTTGCCTTTTCAGCTTTAGTTAAGATACTTTTTGAAGGATCAGTTTACAACAAATGTTTAGTGTCAGGAATTTTACAGTTTCAGGGGCCCTGACAGCTTGGCATGAAAAGAGGTGGCATTATGTCAATTGTAAATGAGTCTGCTATTTACATACTAATTAAACTTTGCACTAGTGGGGTGAAAGAATGTCATTTGCAGAACCCCAGTCATTCTGTTTATGTCATTGTTGTCTGTCTAAACCATCTATTGTTTGGCATGTCACAACCTCATCCCCTAAATGCCACTTCATAACTTTGTACTACTTTAAAAATATTACCTCATGCTTGGCAAATCACATACAATCAGTGTATCTAAAAGCAAAAGACATTCCCCAAACCATCTTGTTTCATAGTAGCACCTAGTTTGATCACAATGGTAGTAACAGTTAGCTTTTATCAATTGCTTCCTATATGCCTGGCATTATACTGAACAATGTTTGGCATCTTAATTCACTTGATCTTCAAAATAAAAGGGGAATATTTCTTACAACCTTTTCACTCATGAGGATATTGGAACTGTACAGGTTGTAAGTGAAGAGCTCAGAACTCTAAGCTTTTACCTCCTACACCACCTCGCTTTCTGTTTTGTCATATTCACTGATCTATCAAATGTCCCACTGCTGTCAGATGTAGACAGGATATTAAAATCATATCAAGAGCAAAGATGTCACTTATTGTCTCAATCCATTTATTTATGGAAAAAATTAAAGAAAAAGCATATAGGCGCATTGTACAGCAAATTATTCCTCATTTACCTCATTAGTATATCATGATTACAGGCTCACATCACATACGTATTCCCCACTACCTTTCAGGTACATTTCACCCTATATGAACCAACGCAGGCTCTCCCAGTAGTGATACCTTTACACAGAGTTCCACATATACTCTGTGAGCCCAATCAGAAATAGTGGTAGTGTTTCTTAACCTATAATGTGAAATGTAGGTAACAGTCTATTGAGCTATTTTATTCTCTTGCTTCACATCTATAGGAGGTAGTATATTGGATTTGGCTAAAGATATTTTTATTTTCTCACTGGAGAAGGAGCAGGACTAATATTATATCACTCTTGTGAGGGAACTGGCACAATAAGATTTGCACCCATAAAGAACAAGATCTGAACCTTTCTTGGCTAGAGGTGGCGGAAGGAGCCCACCAACCACACAGACATGTACACTCCACATTGAGAGTGCAAGATTGGCGCTTCTTGGCATTGTCAGCAGAGTGCTGGTCTGTACTTTTTTTAAAAAAAAAATGACAGAAACAGAAAGCATAGGTAGCTGACACTGAAATAACTTGCCAAGAGAGGGTTGCACATATGATCCCTTTATAGCCTTTTCCTCACTATCTTTAACAATCTTGAAGGCTGAAATAAAAGGTTGAAGTAAAAAAATCCAGGGGAGGGAAAGAAAGAAAATGTACTATAGCTCCCCATAATTCCAACTACCATACCACATTTCATGAAATCTGACACAGTTTTGCTCCACAAGCATGCCAACAGGGGAAAAAAACCTAAAATTCGAGCTGATAACTTGAATGGTTCCAGAGATATCAACTTGTGAAAAGTCACAATTTTGCATTGTGCTGAAAAGCCACCTTACAATGCAGGGACCACCATCACTCTTTAATATCCAGCAGAGTCCCCTGCTGTGCTTTGTCAGTCAGTAGCAACATCCAAGTCTTCCCGTAAAAGTAATTCACACTTTTTTCACAACACTGTTGCTTTAATTACCACTGAACTCTGCTGATGCTCAGGCAGGCCTGGCAGGACCAAGGGAGGGTCAGAGCCACAAAAGAAGCAAATAGCTTTTTTCCTCCTTACTTTATTATTAACAAACCATCGTTGATGGAAATGTTCCTTGTTCTGAGGCCTAGACTTAACTCTGGGTCTCCTTGGCAAAATCATTATCAAAAAAGACTCACAGATGCCAGGAGGGAGGAGAGAGAGAGACAGGGGGAGAGAGAGAGACAGGGGGAAAGAGAGAGAGAGAGAGAGAGAGAGAGAGAGAGAGAGAGAGAGAGAGAGAGACAGTATATAGAATCCTAATTAGAAATTAGAAAATTTGGTAAAGAACAGACTTAGCTATTTAAAACTAGCAAATGATTGCATTTGTCATATACCATTTATTTTATGCAAATGAATCTAGATTTCATACAATACAGTCTTCCTGGACAAATATCAATTCATCTACTTATTTCAAGATTAGTTGACATAGTGAATCATATATCAAAGAAAATCATAGAAGTGCCAAAATCTACCAGTACATAAAAGTAACAGAGCCTATGCTTTATAAATAATATGACAGCAATGTTATAGGTATAACATGTGTATAAGGCACTTTCTATTCTATAGAACAAAATATGCTCCAATAAAACTATTCCTCTGAAACTAACTTTCACAATCTCCTCCACAAAGAATATGAGGGTGCATATCAGTAACTTCCTACGTACTTTAAGGATAGTGGTAGGGTTATAGTCTTTGGTAAATGAATTTAAGGACTGCTAAGTTTTTTCTTGGTTCTAAAATTCCATCTTTAAAAATGTAATTTAAATTTACATTGTAGGCTTTTCTATACATCACCAAGTAATTAATGCTAATATCATTTATCATGTACTGATTCATGATATAATTTACCACAGATATGCAGAATTTTGATGAAAAGTATGGTGCCAGGATAAACTAATTAGAACAGGTGAAACAATCAGATCCTATCGCAGACCAATTGATTCAAAAGATCCAAAGTTCCCTGATTTAGTCTTAGCTTTTTTAATAGACATCTTTACTGTTATATATGTATATTCTATAGTTCAATGGTTCTAAAATTTGCTTGACATCAAAATTTCTTAGAAGGATGGGAATTTGGAGGAGTATGAACACTTGAGAAGTGGAGGTATAGAACCTATAATTCTAAAAGAGTATTTTTGCAGTTTCAGGTAATGTACTGTTTGTAATGTATTATTTGTAAGAGTTCTTGCCTCAAACTTTTCTGCTATTTCCTTCCTTTTAGTGCCTGTCTCTCAACATCTTCTGTGAAATTTTATGAAGCTTTGAAGTCCTAGTTCCAAGTAAACAAATCAGCATTTACTTTCCTCAACTCATCATGATAGTATTAAATATCTTCCCCAAGACTTAAACTTTCTCTTCTAACATTGCAATTATTCATATTTTGCCTTTACTTTCTCATATTTTTTTTAATTAAAATATATGCCTGTTCAAGGTATAGGTATCTTTTCTTGAGTTTATATTGTGTAAAAAATGGTGCATTTTGTCTATGCATTAAATCTGTCCATTTAACTTTATGTAGTATGTAAGACTATAAATGAAGTTAAGATGACTGCTCATGTTCATACATGACCCAGCCACCATGTGGTAGATTGAATTTTCCAAACTAGGCCACACTAGTATGCATCTCAAGCCACATGTTCTCTTTAAAACGTTGACAAATATATTGAAAATGACCCATTGAGAAGTTGAGTCTATCTTCTTTGACCTTAAACCTGGGCAAATTTTTACATCTGCTTTGACTGAAAGTAATGTAGCAGATGTGATTTTTTTCTTGGTTTCTAGGCCTAGGTCATGAAAAGGTGATACAGTGCCCTCCTGGACCTCTCAGGAGCCAGGTCTTGAAAGCTTAGCACTGATGGGTAAGGAGTGTGGCTAACACAGAACCTCCATACTAGAGACAGCATGTAGAGGAACCATGTCATGATTAAGAGGAGTGTCCAGGCCTGCAGGCCCCAGCAATTATTCTGGGGCCCTAAACATCATACAGCAGAGAGAAGTCATTTGCACTGTGTTCTATTACCTGATGTACAGAATCCAGGAAAATAACCCTTGGCCATTTTACTCTCCTTGGGATAGTTATTTAGAAGTAGAAGTCAGAACACCCAGTTTTAGCCTCTCAAGACTCCAATTTGACGAAGTTAAACTGTATTTTTACTCTTATAAAGTTATATTCTATGATTAAAAAAAGAAAAGAGAAAATTTTCATCTTGTTAATTAAAACTGTTTTATAAAACAGCTTTATTGAGGTATAATTCACATATGTTAAACTGCACATATTTAAAGTGTACAATTTGCTAAGTTTTGACATATAAGTACACCTATGAAGCCTTCACCATAGTCAGGATAATGAGCTCATCCATCACCCCCAGTATTTACTCCTGGCCCTTCCCAATCCTTCTTTCCTGCTCCTAGGCCACCACTGTTCTGCTTTCTGTAAATTTATATTCATTTGCATTTTCTATATTTGATATAAATTGAAATCATACAACATGTACCCTTTTACTGTTGGTTTGGTTTATTTTACTGAGCATAATTATTGTTCAGTTCATCTATTTGCTGCACATTGCACTTGTTATTCCTTTTTATTAGTGAGGACTATTTATTGCATGGTTATACCATGTTTTATTTACCTGTAGGAATTATTTCCAGTTTTGGACTATTACAGATACAACTGCTGCTATGAACATCACATGTAAGTCTTTTGAGCTTTGAATAAAAAAAAGGACAACTTTTGGGCCGGGGATTTAGCTCAGTGGTGCTGCCGCTGGCCTCACAAGTGCAAGGTCCTGAGTTTGATCCCCGGTACCAAAAAAAAGAGGACACTTTCATTTTTCTTCAGTAAATACCTAGAAGCAGAATGCCTTTCCCAAACACTGTGTCAAGAGAGTAAAGTGAGGCATTCTTAGGGCTGACCTTATTTGTTTCCACCTGTCGGCTATCACTCTGTTTTGTTGCTTAATATCCATTCACTTGAAAGTTGTGTGTGTGTGATATGAATATGCACTCATACATTCTCTCAGTTTTATTGTTTTAGGTGGCAGAATAAATGTGGCCCTTGTTATTCCACCTTGATACTATATCATTCTTTTAATTCCTCACATGTGAAGGGTTTATTAAGAGGTAGAACAATATTTGCCTCCTTGTGTCTCCTAGAAATGTTTTACAAATGCAAACAAGCAACAGTGTCATGTAGAAGGATATCTGGAATTTCAGTGTCTGGTTTTGACTCAGTATTCTGACAGTTATTAACAATGTGGATTTGAATATGTTACATATCTTCTCCAATTCGTAGTTTTCTTATCTTTGTAACAATAACAACAGCAGGAGAAACAATAATAATACCCATTTCATAAGGCTGGTATATGTTTAAGAAGAGAACTCATGAAATGTACCACGCCCAGTGTCTGGAACGTCATAAGCTCTCAATAAAATGCTACTGATTAATATTGATTTAATTTTAGGGCAGCTAAATGAGAAATTGTGTCAAATCCTTAGATAAAAGGAGCATGGCAAATAGCTATAATACCATTGTATTAAGTACTTAGTAACAAAGGTGGTTCCTCATGCACTCTGAATAAAGTCTCTGGGTTTCATTCTCTTTTCCAAATCCCATAATTAGAGAATTGACATTCTGCAACCTTTACACACAAAAGCTTCAAGAAATTCAGTCAAATCATGTTAGGGATCTGGGAAAAGAACTTAAAGTTCGGTCAACAGAAATGATCCTCTCAGAGAAACCTGTTCCATGCACTAAGGCTGAAGGAAAGTAGATGTCATATGGATCCTAGTGCAATTTTAGAGTGAATTTGTGAGGGAGACTCTTGGTATTGAACTGATAGTTTTCTGATTCAGCAAGCTGTATTGCTAGCTGAGTAAACTGAGGCAGGGAACTAGCTTTTTAGATTCAATTTACTGGTGAATTAAGCTTTTAATTAGGGATATATATATATATATATTTGGTATGGGGGATCGAACTCAGGACCTTGCGCTTGCGAAGCAGGCAGCAGAACCACTAAGCTAAATTCCCCCCAACCCCCCAGCCCTGGAGAATATTGAATGACTATGGAGTAAGTGTTCACAATCCAGCTGGGGAAGTTCCTTGGTCCTTTGGTCCCTTGACCCAGTAAGGAGGACTAAAATGGGTCAAGAAAGGAACAAAATAGGCCCAGCAAAGCACAGGGCTTAGAACAGGGACCGCTTTGTACTCTGAAACAGCCTTGCACTCCAAAAGCAGCTATTCTGGCTTTTGTGTGTGTATATTTGCGTGAGCAAGTGAGAAATTAAGTGAGGTCACAAAACTCTGGTTTTGCTTTGTGGTAATTTGAATTTTTGTGTATGAGCTGGTACATATATGCACTGTGGAATGAGCGAGACTTTGAAAGATCTTTAACTGAACAAAAATGCGAAGGTTGAGTGTTAAACATCCCAGCCACTCTTTAGGACTCTTACTGAAAGTCTCACTGTACCCATTTCTCTGATACAAGTGGGGCCACCTAGAGCTCTGCAATGCTGGAGGCTAGTGAAGCCCCAAAGAAAGACTGATGCTAGAACAGGCTATATGGATTGTAGAAAGACATTTTTCAGTACTATTCTGTGCAATTCTGTTTCTGTACATAGACAAAAGCTGTCCTTACCTTGAGCCCTGTGCTTTTATGGGCCTGTTTAGCTCTTTTTCTGGCCCTTCATAGTTCTGCTTGTTGGATCAAGTATCCAAAGAACCAAAGGACTTCCTCAACTGAATCTTGAGAACCTACCATATAGATTGTACTCTGATTACACTAGATCTTCAAATGTCCGGCCCAAATAGCCCCAAACCCACCTCCAGGGCCTGTGTAGGATTCTTCACTGGGCTCATCCTACTGGGATTCACCTTACCATAGTCCATGCACCCTAGACTCTGGAATGGACCAGGTGTGGAGATCTCAAAAGGGGAACAGGGGGGATTCCCTCTTCTGACAGAGTTCCAACATCAAACTCCAAGAAGCCCAAAGATTATAAAATAAACCTGTACATCTGTGTTGTGATTACAGAATATTATGAAGAAAAAAACCTATTTTAGACAATAATTTACTAGTTTAATTTGTACTGAATTTATTTCAACAAATAATAGGTGAGCTTCTACTTGTGTTCCTCCCCCAGGTTTTTCCAAAGTTAGGGATGACCTTGACTTTGTGACTGTATCTCTTATGGGCTCTTCCTTTTTTCTCTTGATTACCTCCTTCACTTAATAAAATGCAAAGATAAAGCAGGGGTCACAGGAATAAAACACTGATGAGTAAGCCAAATGTACTTCTCCCTCAGTGTGATAGCATTTGATAGTATTTCTACCAACACCATCTGGTGAGACTGGGAAATGTTGACTTCCTTCTTTTCTACTTTGTGAGCATTACTCCTTCTTCAAGTTGCAGCTGATAATTTCTCTCTTGTTGGGAAACACTGCCTTGAAGTAGCAGGAAAGAAACAAGTTTTTAGTTATTATTGGATTTCAAATCTAGGCTTTTTTACTTTTAACTATGTTACCTCAAACAGGTCACTGAATATGAACTGAGCCTCAGCCTATCAGTAAAGGAGTTTATGATAATGTTTTGCATATTCTATAGGAAGGATTACGTGGTGTAGCTGATGCACAGAACCTCTATGTGCATCTCTGATTGACTCCCAAGATCAGTATAAGCCTTCTGTCATACATGTATGCATATATAAATACATACCTATAACAAACCTCTAAGAGCCAAGAAGAGCAGCATAAAACACAAGATTATAAGAAATCTAATACATGTGAGCAAGTGTTATCAATTTTGTACAGCTAGATTTTATGATAAGGTCAAAAGATATACAGGACAGGTGAACAAAAAACAGTCAGGACAGGCAACTTAGATTAAATGAAGAAATTTGACATACTGATATTTTTAGGATTTCTAGGAGTAGATATGTAAGCTTTTTATCTACTTTAGATAAAACATAATTAAACATCTGAAATCATCTTGGCTTAACATACACATAGTGAAGACATGTTGCCAAAACAAAAAAAGCTTTGGGGCTTCACTACTTACAAAAATTCACAGCTTAGTTACTAAAGCATGCTTCCTATTGCATCAGTGATAAATTTTTAAAGAAATTAGCCATGTCCAACAAGGCTTTATGTTTTTGATCAAGTGAGACTAATATTCTTAATTTCCATTTTCCCCCAAACTAGAATGTTTCATAAAGAATTTTGTAGTACTCTCTCAAAATGAAATTTCTACCATATACCAAGTTGGAACTTCTCCACTGTGCATGTACTATTTTTGAAAATGAAGCAAGCAAGCTGCTAATCAAAGGGCTAGTTGCAAGTTGCAAGCAGAGACCAAGTTTGTAATAACTGCTG